ACTTGTACACCATGCGTGGACAATTCTGCACCTTGCGAGCCTGCGCGCGGACAATTCTGCACCGTGCGAGCCTGCGCGCGGATCACCGTGTGAGCCTGCGCGCGGACAATTCTGCACCGTGCGAGCCTGCGCGCGGACAATTCTGCACCGTGCGAACCTGCGCGCGGACACCGTGCGAGCCTGCGCGCGGATAATTCTGTACCGTGCGAGCCTGCGCGCGGACAATTCTTCACGGTGCGAGCCTGCGCGCGGACAATTCTGCACCGTGCGAGCCTGCGCGCGGACAATTCTGCACCGTGCGAGCCTGCGCGCGGACAATTCTGCACCGTGCGAGCCTGCGCGCGCGGACAATTCTGCACCGTGCGAGCCTGCCCGCGGACAATTCTGCACCTGCATGTGGACAATGATGCGAGTTTTCTGCGCAGTGCGAGCCCTCGACCCCTCCACAGTGGACAGAGGGGGTAGGGTAGAGGGCGAACATAGATGATTGGAGGTCAAATGCGGGGAGTGAGATGGGAGGGAGATCAAATGCGGGGAGCGATATGGGGGAGAGGATGAACGTGATGGGGGATAGAACAATAAGGAAAAGTGACGGGAGAGGACGAACACGTTGAGTGAAATGGGGGAAGGATAGATGTTTGGAGTTAGATAGGGAAGAGGACGAACATTTGGAGTTGGATAGGGGGAAATCAGGCAAAGGGGAATGTTAAGATTGGAGTGATGTATTAATCCCACTATTTTTCTGTGTCAGGTTGAGTTAGTGAGAAAGGAAATGGCTTGGGATGCTGAAAAACACAGCATAGCTCTTGAGAAGCTTGAGAAATGGTATGGTGAGACTACCCCTTGGTGAACCTAACAGAACCCTTCCTTGTCCGTGTGGTCCCAGGTTCAAGGCAGTGGTAGAGTGTGAGAGGATCGTGGTCTGGTCTTTCGCAGAGAGCCACAGGGTGGGCACATACCGTACTCCACGACCCTCAGACCATTTTCTGGAGCAACTGGAGAAAGAGACGTCCTCTCAAGACCTCCAGACTCCCGGCACCGTGGCCTTTAGTGACGGAGTTAGGACTGGGAGAGGGGGAACTGCTGCCGAGGAGGAGGAGATGGGAGGGAGGGAGTGGGAGAGGGAGGGAGGGGGTGAGGGGGAAGAGAGCGGCAAGCTTAGCAAGCAAGAGGCCAGAAGACTGAGACGAGAGAGGAGGAAGAGAGAGGTAAGAGAGAGTTGCTGACATGTCCAGTTGGGACCTGTCATCTTGGCAGTGGGAGGAGCTGCTGGCTAGGAGGCCGGGGAAGGGAGAAGAGGACCCAGAGGAGGCGGCTCTGGTCCAGCAGTTCAAGGCCAACATGGGAGACTACAAGCTAAAGACGGCCAGCGACTATGTGGTACCGAAACACCAGAGAGTCACCTTCTCGAAAAAGAGACGGTCACTGCTGTTCCTCAGGAATCAGGTGAAAAGGATTTCTTTGTTTGCCAATTATGTTAATACCTTTACTGACTGGATGTAATGACACACAGTAGGTAGGGTGGGGGCAATAATCATGACCCATATTGTTGTTCCACTATCTTACGTCAGATATTTGAGCGGAAGAGAGAGTACAACTCTAAACTGATCGGTCTGAGGAACAGAAAGAAGGGTGTTCTTCAGAAGGTGATGGTGAAAGCTACTTACCCCCACCAGTCACATCTAGTACCCCTTTTCTGTATCTGTAGGCCTCCTATTTACTGAAGGAGCTGGAGTCAGTTCAGAAACAGCTACCTCCCTCCCTCCACATCTCTCCCCCAATCTTCCCTCCCCTGAGACCAGAGGAGGAGCCAGAGAAGACCAGGGGATACACACGAGAGACTCTGCTGCAGTTTGCGTCAGAGAAGGAGGAGAGAGAGCGGCTGGAGAGAGAGGCTGCAGCAGGCGTAGGGGAAGGGTTTGGGGGATTTGGTGGATTTGGAGGTGGAGATGGAGGAGATCAAGGTAAGGGTGGAGAGGGGGAGGAAGAGGGGGAGAATGAGGCACCACCAGAAGAGGCGGGGGAGGGTGTTGTGAGAGAGGAAATGGGTGAGACTGATGAGGGAGTGCAGGGAGAGAGGCAGGAGGAAGAGGAACAAGAGGAAGGAGTCATGTCGGAACTTGGCCTTGTGGTGCACCAGGAGCAGCAGGTGTATACACCACACATACAGTACACATGACTGGAGCCTCAATACTTCATACAATGTATGGTGGTACAATAGGTTGTACACTATGGTGAACCTCAATGTATGGTGGTACAATAGGTTGTACACTATGGTGAACCTCAATGTATGGTGGTACAATAGGTTGTACACTATGGTGAACCTCAATGTATGGTGGTACAATAGGTTTTACACTATGGTGAACCTCAATGTATGGTGGTACAGTAGGTTTTACACTATGGTGAACCTCAATGTATGGTGGTACAATATTACTATGAATGCGCACGCGCATATTTTGCCTCGCACCTGTCAGCCAGTCCGATTGAGGCCGCTTGTGCGCGCGCTCTACTGACTGCGCGCAAAGCCAGGCTTCCTACGAATCTGCGTGCACGGCGGAAGCTAGACTTCCTACGAATGACGGAAGTTACACTTCCTTTTGGTGACTAATTGACATTCCCAAGCGTGACTAATTGATGACGTACGTACGCATATCGCGAGAATACAACCCGGAGTAGTTGCCTCGCGCATTACGGTTATGTACTTGAGGACTGCAATTGGAAAGCGAGGCGCGAGCAGGGTTTTGCACATATTGAGAATCACGTAGAACATTACGGTATGTGCAGTGCCCGTCACATAATATAAAATTCCCGAATTGAATCGTCAAGGGAGGCTCGCTTTGCTGGCCAATAATGGTCCTCATTTATGTATTGTGGTACAATAATATTGTTAATGTGGATGTGGCTTCAGGTCCAGATGCTGTTCCGACAGAACTCACTGGTGGAAGAGATGGAGGAAATGAAAAGGTCGTTTGACGAGGCTCTACTGAGACTGCTTCACAAGAAAACAAAGTTGGACTGTACCACCATCACTGCCAGTCTCCGGTCAGTGAGTCTTATATTGTTACCAAGAGTATTCATTCACTTTCCAAAAATCTGACCCCCTAAGGGCAATATTTTAGCTCCGCCATAGGCATACTAATTGAAAATGAACCTGTTAGAAGGTGATATAAGGCAGAGCTCTTTCTGCCCAGGTAGTGTCCAAGAGTATTTGTTCACTTTGAAAAAAATCTAAAATATTTCCAATCCCCCTATCATACGTACATAAGGGCAATATTTTTGCGCCGCCATAGGCATAGTAGTTGAAAATGATAAGGTGAGATAAGGCAGAGCTCTTTCTGCCCAGATAGTTTCCAAAGTATTCGTTCACTTTTCTAAATTTTTCTGATCCTCCTCTCTGACTGGCTGCAGACACATCACTCAGTACCAGGAGCTGACCCTGTTAAAGGAGTTTGAGAAGAAGGAGAAGACTTTCACCTCACGTTACCACACCAAGAGAAAGGAGAGTCGAGACATGGAGACAAAGGTTAGGCACTCTCCAATTCCGAATCTATCCCCATAGGCAAACTTTAAACAAAACATCTTCAATGCACTAAATCATAGCAGTTTTAAACAACGTGGTGTTCCTGCAGATCCAGGGTCTGGGGGTGAAACTGAAGCAACTGGAGAAGAGAGTGGCTCAGCTGCAGGAGCAAGAGAAAACACTCACCTCTCAGTTCATGGAGAGAGTTGGAGAAGGCAACAAGTTCAAGGACTTTCTCCTGAAGGCAAGTTTCCCTCCTTGTCCTCACTTCCCTGACTGCCAGTGGGCGTGTCTGCAGGTGTTTCGGAAGAAAATAAAGAGAGTAAAGGCAAAGGAGGAGAAGGGGCCAAGGGAGGGAGAGGGAGAGGAGGAAGAAGACAGTGAAGATGAGAGTGACATCAGGTGAGTCTGGAGGTCTCCCACCACAGCCAGTGGCAGTTCTCACTACATGCAGCAGCTCCTCTGAGGAGGAGAGTGAGGCGGGGGAAGGGGGAGGAGCACTCAATGACTCTGTGTGTCCGGCTGGCTGTGACCCCGCCCTCTTTTCCCTGGCGTGCTCACTGCGGGAGTCCCGGCTGGACTTAGAGGACACTCTGACGGAGGAGAAGAAAGCCATGGACCAGAGTCGCAAGGAGGTCGAGTCCTCGAAGAAGAAGCTGAAGACAATGGAGTCTCACGTCAAGACAGCTCAGAGTGAACTGGAGGTATATAAGAATGATCCAGTATCGTGTGCCTGTTCAGTCTTTCACATGCAATACATGGGGTTGTTGCACAGTTCTTAGTCTGACTCTATATAATACAACATGTGCTGCAGACTGCATGGACAATGCGCCATTCGGCGGTGAATGCTCAATTCGCAGCCTTTTGCGTGACATACTTGTCACCAAACCATTCACAACTGGGACATGTGGATTTCTCCTCTTTGAACATTGAACACTTTCACTTGAAAACCCTGTTCTCTAACAGGCCTTTCAGCTGAAGAAGCAGCAGAAGCTGAATGAGTTGAATCGTGTGGTGGTCCTGAGGCTGCACCAGATACTGCACCATGGAGCAGGGCCCGGAGAACCTCCGTCCTCCATCTCCTCCTGCCTCGTCTTCCCAGAGTCTTCCCTCGCCGACCTCTCCTTTAGGATCTCCGCTGTGAAGGAGGAGAGGAAAAACGAGAAACTGAGATTCAAGTCAGTTCCCTCCACAACCTATATCTAGAGATTTGTGTGTGTGTTTTGGTGAGAATGCAAGGGAACGGGAGGGCGATAGAGACAGTGAGAATGAAAGAGTCCAGGAGAGCACGGGAGTTGATTCGTTCAGTGCAGTTGCATTACGTGCTTTCTCGTAGCGCAATCGTTGATGTTGATACGTCGTACGTGCGGCGATCACGATTATCGAAGGTCAAATTGGTTGCATGTACAGAAGTGTGTGTGTGTGTGTGTGTGAGTGCTGGAGTGGATAGCTTTTTTCCTGGGCTGCCTCTGATGGTGTATTTTGTGTAGGGAGCTGCACCACCAGCATGTGAGACTGGTGAGGGAGAGGAGGGAGTTGGAGGCAAGGGTGAGAGAATGGGAGGAGAAGGTCCAGCAAGCCATGACCCTCAAGTTCGGTAGAGTGGTTGATCTGGACTCCCTGGGAGCTGTCACCGCCAACCGCGCAGTGGACGACCTGCGAGCCAAGCTCAGAAACCAGGAGGATGAGCAGGCCAGGGAACTTGCTGTCCTACAGGTCAGAGTTTCAGGACACCTGTTGCAGTGGTCTATACTGTGGTGTGATCCCCCCAGACTCGAGTGGAGAGGGCCAAACACCAGCTGATGGGTGTGGTGAGACAGAACACCCAGCATCTTGTGAGAATGAACAACCTCTTGACCTCCCAGCATTCCCTGGAGGCAAGGCTCAACGCCAGACAGAAATCTCTGGTATGTCACTACCATACTCTGGCTCCACCCGCCGTCAATGATAATTACATGACTACACAGCGCAGGGAGGTGGGAGGAGGGAGAAGTGGGGAAGATGAGGAAGAGATGGAGAGGCTGGAGCAGCTCACAATGTTGCAGGCACACGAGATCTCCACCCTCCAGCAGGAGATCAGAGCTCTTTCTACCAAAGGAGGAAAAATGTTGCCCCCCTCCCAGCCCCCCGTTGGCCCCCCTCCACCTGGCGTGTCTCCCATCATTTAGTTCTATATAACTGACTTTACAGCATCAGTGTATAATAATTATGTTGACTGAAACAAAACTAAAACAGTTCTCTGTAATGAGTTGACAGCAGGTGATCACTTGACAAGTCTGAGGACAGTACTGATCATCTCTCCGATGCCGTCAAATATCTGGTGAAGTGGAGCCTCGTACATGTAGGCTGGTGTTGTGACCACCAGTCGCTCGCTGTCCAGACACACCTCCTGTGGTCCCTGGTTAAAGACAACTACTGTTGAACCTCTCAACTACTGACAGCTTGGGGACATTGAAGGTGTCAGAGGTCCCCTTTTTGAACACTGGAACTATAATTAGGCTAGGTTCACAAAGATAATGTCACATTGCCTAGTTGCGTCGTGCTGTGTGGCCACGTCGCGAGGATAGAATTTATGCGGCAGGATGTGATGCAGCACGGTGCAACGGGACAATGCGACATATTATTTTGAACCTAGCCCAAGTGTTTTATTCGGTCCTCTTAGGTTTCATTTTAATAGCTGTGTCCAGTGAGTCAGGATACAGTGACTGGTCTGGGGACGTGACTGGCCCCCATTCCACGCACTGCACAGGCTGCAGGGTCTGTGTCATCGCCAACGGTAACAGCCACACCTGGAAACAGACGGGCAGCCAGCACAGGTGAAATACAGCACAACCTGAAGGAGGGAGACAAGTGTGAATGGGAAACATGTGTTAGTGGGTTAGAAGTTTCGCTATTTCGGCATAGAAAAAAATACGACCTGTAAAAAGGAGACACTAAAGTGAACTCAACGTATAGGTGCTTCACACACGAAATGTACGTGTAGTGAGGTCTACCCAATGGGTTTCCCAGCTGCTCTGAACTGTTCCAGAACCCTCTTAGCCTCAGTCTCCACCTCCATCTCCTCTCCCTCCACTGCATAGCTGCTCCTGAACCAAGGCAGCACAATCTGAGGTCCAGCATATCGTGGTCTGTGGAGGGGACCTCACAGGTTCTTGGCTGCTCCGAAACCACCGGGCAAGACGACGGCTGAAAAATGGCCGACAATCAGTTGACTGAGAGGAGAGATGGCTCCTCTGGCGATGCGGGCACTCTCTACCAGCACTTTCCTGAGAGACAGGTTCTCTGTTTGACACCCCCTGGCCACGCCCCTTACCTGGTGTCCCCCTCGGCAGGCTGACCAGTGAGGTGGTTAACTACATGCATCTGAGGGATATCTGGTGCAAACATCGCCACCTCAGCTCCATGACGACTAAGGTGAACTAGACAGCTGGTATTCGACCCCGGCCAATAAGAATGATCACGTGAGCTGCATTGCACACGACGAACTTACGCGGAAGCCTCGTGGATTTCTGAACCATCGTACACGCCACATCCAGACAAGACCTGCCAGGCATACATTGAGGTGGATCTTACATCAACTTCTTCCATGCAGTATGTTACTTACCAATGCAACCTTTTTACCAACGGCAGTTGAGCTTAGCGCTCGAGAAATCCATCCAATCTCAAGCCGTCTTCCCACGAGAGCCATGTTCCAAATAATGCACACCTTGTAGCCCCGCCCCTTCACGCACAGCTCAATGACGCATAAAGCATGGAGGTGGTAAAACTAAGTGCAAACACACACACACACACACACACATACAATTACAAACACACTCAGGTTGAGCGTTAAAAAAGCAATTGAGCTATGATTGAGCTAGAACTAACACTGGAGTATCTCCACAGTCCGACCAAACTTGTCCCTGATCTCCTGCCCACCCAGCAACATGAGCCGTCCCTTGGAGAGCACCACCGCTGTTGCCTGGCTACGAGGGGTGGGCAGACTACCAATGTGAACCCACTTCTCCGCTGCTACACAGTACATGTAGATGGCTCCGTTCTGGGCCTGGGAATAGGGCGTGTCGACTCCGCCCACCGCCATGAGGTAGTGGCCGAAGGGAACTGCCGTTGCGCAGTAGAGAGGCATGGGGGAAAGGACGTTCCACCTGTTTCTAGCCAGCTCCCCAGAAAGACTGAGGGAGAAGACCTGGGTCTGGGGGCCCGTCTCGCCCTGCGAGGGGTCAGTGAAGTTGATCCCACCGAGGAGGTACCAGCGAGACCCAATGATGCAGGAGGTCATGCGGACGCAGGGCTGGGGCAGGGGGGACAAGTGATGCCACTGGAACTGCGAATAGTCCAGCATCTCCACGTTGTAGAGTGGCTTCTTGAAGTTGCTTCCCCCGGCAACCAGCAGCTGTAGTTTGAAGGAGACGGCGGTGCAGTCTTGACGTGAGGTGGGCATGGCGGGGAATGGGGTACACCACCCCTGCTGGCCGCGGTCCCACACAGTCAGGTGATTAGTCGGGACCTTCTTTGCCAGGTCAAACCCCCCAACCAGTGCCAGGGTCTTGTTGACCTCTGCCAGAGCAAAGTAGGCCACCGGTGCGGGGGGCAGAGCTGTCCATTTGCGGACCAGACCATTGCAGTCATACTCATGAACCACACGCTCCAATTCCAGGTCCTGCAGAGGGGTATAGATGGAGTATGGGGTATGAGACACCAGTTGAAGTCATACTCCTACCTTGCAGTCTCCTCCACCTACATACAGCTTATCGTCAATGACAATTCCCCGAGCTCCGTATGTTCCAACTGGCATGTCGTCATCTCTCTTCCACGTGAAGGCCGACTGAGTTGGGTGGAGTACTGTAGGAGTACGCCCCTGTAATCAAGATAAATAATAGCGTCACATTCGATGTAGACACGTTGTACCATAGTGGCATCAAACACACAGACATTCATGTGGGTAACGGAGCTGCTATCCTATTCACTGACAGGTATTCATGTGGTTCAGTTCTACAAGAGGGCTCGCCACCGATGAAAAGAAAGACCATGAATGCATGGACATCAACCAGACAGCTGGCTAGAGAGCAGGGAGAGGGCGTGTCTCATGAACTCCAAGGGCAATCCAAAAATATTTGGGGGCAGGAAACCAACTACATGCATATCCAGAGTTTTTCAAAACCCACTGATTCCTAAGAGTTTCAAGAGCATACCTTGCTGCTGGGATGAGAGGTGGTAGTTGGGGAGACAGGGCCATTAGAGGCATGCTCCAACAGAAGGCCTTTCAGAGAGGTTGCTATCTGTTGCTCCATCTCCGCTATCTTCCTCTGCATAGAGTGAATCTCCCCGCCCCTGTTCTCGAGCTGCTTGCACACCGTCTGCAACTGCTCCTTATTGGCAGCAAGTTGAATACCCTTCGACTCGATCTGGTTCCTGTTGCTTTCCAACACCTGAGAGAAGCAGGGAGAGGGAAAGGAGGAAGAGGGAGTGACGGAGGCTTCAACAAAACATAACACGTGTTGCTTTGGGTGAAAACTGAAAGCGACACTACATGCAATGTTGGGAAGCAACTGAGCTCACCCAAAGACAACAACCACATCAGGTGTACACCACTTGCTTGCCTGGAGGAGGTCAAGATGAGAGGTAGTTGGGACTGGATTGCTGGACTGCAGACTCTCTAGAATACCTGCCATTTCCGCCGCCTCAGGTCGCAGTCCTGGATCGTTCTGCAGGCACTGCATGGCGAGTGGCATCAGGCAGTGCTCCTTGCCAATGAGGTCCAGGTACTCCCGCCGCCTCTCTGGCTCTGAAACTGGCACCAGCTTCCCTTTCACCAGTCTGGTGGGCTCCGAGGGCAGCGGCCACTGCTGTGACACAAGGTGAACCAGGAGATTCCCAAAGGAAAAGGAGTCGATCTTTGTGGTGTACTGAGGGTTGGGGGCCAGGGCCTCGGGAGGCATGTAGGCGGCAGTTCCCGGCGCCTGCGTGAGCTGCGTGCGCATGCGAGAGTCGTCCAGAAGGCAGCGAGCCACGCCGAGGTCGGCTACCTTGGCCACCATGTTGGGCGTCAGCAGGACGTTGTTGGCGGTCAGATCGCGATGAACGATGGGCGGCGAGTGGCCGTGCAGGTAGGAGAGCGCCAGAGACACGTTGTGCAGCATGGAGATCTGCAGGTAGCGCGGGATGCGCGGCTGGTTCTTCAGACAGACGGCAAGACTCGTGGGCAGGTACTCCATGACTAGGATAGGGGTGAACGTCTTGCTCTCGATGTGGACTCCAAGGAACTGGACGATGAACGGGTGGCGGAGTGTGCTCAGCATCTGACACTCGCTCTCGAACTTTGTCAACAGTGCCGCGTCTTCTTCCGTGTTGATACCGGCCAGCGAGAGCTCGTGCAGGGCTTTTGCCGCGCACACCATTCCCCACAGCCGCACCTTCTTCACGGAGCCGAATGCCCCCTTCCCGATCACCTGCCCCGTCTCCTGCACCTCCTTCAAAAGAAGAGGCTCCAGACGCTTGCTGAGTCGGCGGCTCATGGCTGGATCGGCCACCCGAACCTCTCTTGGCTTCTCTATGTACACACAGTTCCTCAGAAGCGAAGAGCCGCTTTCCGTGTCCGCGCCTCCCTCCCAAACTAAACGTTGGGCGTGGGTGTGTATTGCGCAAGAACGTCGTCAATGTAAACACGTTGAATCAGCAGCCGTATAATACCACATCAGCTAGAGGGTAAGTAAACGTTGCAGTACGCTCTACCAACGTCAACAATAGCGAGAAACTGAAAAAATAACAAACGAGATACGGCCCTACACATACACATACTCTGGAGTCACATGCTATTTGGGACCCTATAGAGGCTGCGGAATAAGAGGGGAAAATGCAGGGAGATTGGTAAGAGTGCACAGCAGAGGAGGACACACTCACTGTGGTGGGTTCTGTGGCAGGGACTGGCTGATCTCGACTCTGTTCTTGCCAATCAACTCGCCAAATGTTCCTTTCTTCCTGATGGAGTCCAGAGCCAGTCTCATGCTCCGCATGGGCAGCTGGTGGCTGCGGACGAGGATCATGACCTGCTCAAGACTGCATGCCAGGCCAGACCGGAACACCCCCGTGTCACACACACACACCCGCACTGCCCCCATCCTGGTCGCCAGCTCAGCAGCCACAGTCAACAGACCTATTCCAGGCCGCGTGGGTTCCCTGACCGCCACCTCCAGCTGCTGAGTCAGCAGTTCCAGGGCGTGGAGGGGCTGGGCAGTCTCGGAAATGGCAAGGGCTTTCTCTTCGCTCGTCTGTCGGTGGACCGAGCGGCCCAGTCTGAAGGAACGCAGCTGTCGGTAGTAGCTACGGATTGTCTGGAGTGAGGCGGTGTTGACTGCCTTCTCCAACAAATAGGCCTCCGAGTTCTCCAAGATGTCTAGCAGACCTGAGGAAAAGAGGGAGATGGTGGAAAATGTGTGGGTGACTGGATCCTTACCTTTGTTCAGGAGAACGGGATGAACTTTGACTCCACGAGAGGAGGTGAGAGAGGCAGGCAGTGAGTGGAACAAGTGAGGCTGGAGGGCAAAGGTCAGACGGAGTGCTGAGCGGGAACCAGAAACTGAAACCTTGGGGTAAGGATCTGAGGAGATGATCAATTTTACAACATTTTCACATGCACTCTGCTTTCAATCTCGTGTCTGACTATAATCTGAACAGTGTATATACCTTTCACTTCCATTGTGGTTTCCATGGCAACCACATGCAGAGAAACAGACTTGAGTTGCCTGGCAACAAAGTCCAGATCTTGGAGCAGTTTTATTTCCTGACCCTATGCGAGAGCAAGACAATGACATTCCAAAACTCAATTCAGTGGAACTCTGTAATCAGGACACCAATGGCAGTGTCCAAGTTAGTGAACGCCTAGTTAGCATGCAAGAGCTGTTCTCGGGGAAAGAAAAGAAGAGGGTGTCCTTGTTTCTGGGGTGTTTTTGGAGAGGGATTCCAGTGCAGTTGTTACCATCCACCTCAGACAGAAGGGACTCAATGTGGAAGAGAACGCCCTTGGAGGCCACTAGTTGGAGCCAGGCAGACGAGATGTCTTCATTGCTGACTCCGTACTCTGGTTCAGGGTTCAGTTGACCTCGTGTTGCCGCTAGCAACTGGTGACTGAACCCTGTTGCCAAGGCAACGAGGCATTGGGAAAACAGCTTGTCATGTGTTTGGAGGAGAGTAAGATCTGCACAGGTAAAACATTTTTGCAGAGTTTGTGACGTAGTGCAGAATGGTTTACTCACTGTTGCAGGCAGCCAGGGACAGAGATATCAACAGTAGAACCTCTGCACATACACACAGAGAGACAAAGAGTATGGGAATGAGGTTAAATGAGAGAGTTACACATGTACCTTGCGTGTATGTGGTAGCATTGTGTATGAGAGTCTCCATGGCGCCAGCCAGTTTCTTTCCAGGACTGACACTCGCTGCTGTCTTCACGTGTTTCAGAGATCCTCTCATAGTGTCTTTGAACTCTTTCAACATGGCTGGGGAGAGGGGGTGTGGCCTGATGCAGGGAGCGGAGAGAGGGAGACTGTATACACGACTATGTACCTGCAGGGTTTTTGTTCTTGATGATGTCAGATATTTCACTGATGACTTTGGAGATCAGTTCACTCTCCAGAGAACCCATCAATCCCTCCACCTGCACGCCATCACATGGCATAACTCGTGGTGCGTCTCATGCTAAGGGTATCTATGATGGTCCACACAATAATGATGCCATTTGTACATGTAGGTTTCATGAGACTTTTGTAAAGAGCAACAAATGACGCCCCAGAGGTGGAGCAAAAGGTGGAGGGAGAGGGTGAAGAGACTAGCCTTTCTCTCCAGGCCCTCCAGCTCCAGGTTGATGGACGGGAGAGGGTTGGAGAAAGAGGAGAGTCTGGCCCTCCGGGAGAGAGTGGGGGAAGAGGAGGGAGTGAGGTCATCACTGGCGGGAGGGGAAGGGACTGTCAGGAGACCAGCTGACTCAGTTGGTGGTGGGCTCTCCTCAGGAGCTGGACACACTCCAAGATCATCCACAAACCTGCAGACAAACCAGCTCAACCTTCAACACGGATGTTCACTTCCTCTGTACTACTACTCACAGTATACAGTAATAAACCTGTATTCACATGGTAGGCACCAAACATTCAAAACTGTTTCTATGTTTTCTGTTACCATACATACCCTCATCTCCTATAAACCCATGCAGAAACATTACTGTACCCTCATCTCCTACCCCTGCAGGACTCTCTGTGCCTCCTTCAGTCCAGTTACGTGGTTCTTCATGTCCTGCATCATGTCATATCTCCCGAGGCACTCCTCCAGGGAACTAATGTCTGACTTCTGCAGGGAGAGGGGGAGAGAGAATGGTTGAGGAAGAAGGGAGAGATGCTTACAGAGAGCAGATGTGGGACACAGGGACAGGCCATGGTGGAGATGAGGTATGAGGTAGTGTCCACACCAACTACTGCACTGCAGCTGTCTTCTGCTGTAAGTGGTACAGACTATTATCAAGGTTCGACATAATCACATTGATACACGACGGGGCTACCTACGACTACTTGGAATGGAATGTGGGTACAACTTTCCATATCTCACTCTTATCTCTGATCTTTCCCCTATCTTGCTCCAAGCATTTTTCTTTCCCCCAATCACGCCTAAAATATGCAGACAATTCTGCTCTCATTAATGACAGTAGCAAAACGTTGGGTGGATTTTCATACTTTCTTAGCAAGCGAGGAGAAGAACGTGCCAGCAACCACTTTGACCACTTTGACCACTTTGAATAATATGGCTGGAGTGTGTATATAACCCTCAAGAGTAATTATAAGGTGGCCTAGGTTTTTCGCACTTTAGCAAGGAAGAATGGGTATATCAAGGCAACCAGCCATCCATCAGCTATAGCTGAAACTGTGTAACTGACGAACCATCAGTGGAAGAGGTGGAGGGAGGAGGTGGGCGGGAGGAGGAAGGACTGAGGACCTCCATCAGTGACGTGTGCAGGTTGAAGGGACAGGCCTCAATAGTGGAGCTGTGGGTGGGACCAAATGGCTTGTAGGAAGGAAACCGCGGGCCCTGAAGTAGCCTCTGGGTCTGAGGAGGTAGTGAGAAATGTCACCAAATTTTTACTGTAAGTTATTGCAGAGTTACTTTGCCTTGAAAATTTCGTGTTAATTTGTTTTGTAGCTACAGACCTTGTTATAGGTCTTGGCAAGGTTGCGAAGGTCACTGATGTACTTGGTCACATGACTAGCGGACACTCCCGAATGCTCCAGATCATTGGCCACACCCCCTGCCTCGGAGCCGAGGGTCTTCAGCAGCTGCAGGGAGAGAGCCTGTGACCACACCCGCTGACCACACCCACTGACCCACCTCGGCCGGGAGGGAAAAGGCATAAGGGCTCTCAATAGTTCGTTCGTACACCTGTAGGTGGGTGTGGTCTCCGGTCTCATACTCATACTGGACCTGGAATGGGGGAATAGGAATGAGCCCACTGCAGGCCCCGCCTACTGGGTACCAGATGTTCCATATTGGAGTGAGAGACCTTGATCTCCACGGCAGCACCTCCCGCAGCATCCATTGAGTCCTCCAGACTTCCTTTTATGGCAGTCACCACAGCCTCGTGGCTGGCTCGGAGGACGTCTTGCTGTCCCACTCTCAGAATACAGGACCCACACACCAGACCTGCGTCTGCTGCCGCTGAACCTGTGGAACAGATCATCTCTCTTTCTTGTGGGTAAAGGGAAAGCTAGCACCCATAATTATAACACATTATTGCCACGTACATTTCTATGTCATGGAACACATCGATGCACATTAACCACTCACAAACAATACACATGTACAAATTAATGTCAGCAGAAATGTGAAAGACACGAAGATAAATGCACAAACCTCTGTCGACACCATTGATGACGACAGGGGAACTCCCCCTAATGTGGAACCCCAGACCTCCAGTTGGCGTGGGACACAATCTCACAGTCTCCGATGTATTGGAGAGGACCGTGAGGTGGAGAGGGGGCGGGGCAGAGAGGTCAACGGAGGTCAGCAAGGTCGAGAGGTTGAGGTGGGCATGGCCAAATGTGGATGTGAGGTAGTGTCCATTGATGGCTACAACGGTCAGTCCTTCTGTCACGCCACACCACTGACCAACAGACAGGCAGGATCAGGAGGTAAGAAAAATCCCCAACAAGAAACAAGTTTGTGGAATTTATGTAGGTGTGTGAAATTCACCTCCACATTTTGACGTGAAAAATTCACCCCAAGTAAAATTTTAATCCCAACAGTATATACCAACCTCAGAATACAGTTCTGACTGACCTTTGCATGAGGAGAGGCTGACGTGACAGACACCGGCAGAGGTGGTTCGTCCTTCAACCCTACACCATACCCTCCCTCCTCCCTACTGTAGGGCACCTGCCACACACAGAGAGTTTAACCCCGTTCCCACTACCTCCTCCAACTCACCGTGAGGGTGATGCAGCTCTGGCTTTGCTTGGCAATGAACTCGCGGCCCAGCTGAGTTCCTCTCCTCCCAGTGGCGTCCAGCACATCGTCAGCTGTGAACCGGTAGAGACTGCTTGTGTCCCTGAAGTCTTGCCCGTCAGTTGCTGCAGTGGACCAAGCAATGGGAACTGAATCTCAATCACGAGCATATGTGTGCTGTTAGTCTATGACGTAAGGCTGCAGTGGCCAACCACCTTCTATAACATGGTGTCTTACGATCTGCAAGTGTTGCATGGTGGTTACACTCAATACCAAAATGAATTAAGTACATAGAAAGTGGATTACACATACAGTAGAACCAGTGAGAGTGAGAGAGAGAGAGGCTGACCATGTCTCAGAACACCAACCACAATGAGTGAGAGAGAGAGAGGCTGACCATGTCTCAGAACACCAACCACAATGAGTGAGAGAGAGAGAGGCTGACCATGTCTCAGAACACCAACCACAATGAGTGAGAGAGAGAGAGGCTGACCATGTCTCAGAACACCAACCACAATGAGTGAGAGAGAGAGAGGCTGACCATGTCTCAGAACACCAACCACAATGAGTGAGAGAGAGAGAGGCTGACCATGTCTCAGAACACCAAGAGCCACAAACTGTCGTCCAAGAGCGACTCCCTCGTCTCGGGACACAATGTCCTTCTCCTCCAGCAGCCACTCTATCAACTTCTGTGCATTGAGGACATTCCTGAGTGCCCCTCCAATTACACTACCCTTGTGGTCCCTGTAGAGGGAGTGGGTGCTACTGTGATTGGAGAAAATGAAGGAGCTCACCTAATGATAGGGTCAAACAGACCATGAAGACGGCAGTACATCCGCACACCCTGTTTACAGATAGGGAAGAGAGGGGAGAGAGGAGAGAGAGGTAAAGGGAGAGAAGTGGTGTGTGTGTGTTGCTGACTCACCCTAGCTGCCAGTTCACTGCTGGCATACTTCTGTCGGAATGTTCCGTCGTCATAGCGAAACTGTAGAGTAGTTC